GCACGAAAGTGCATGGTTAATGGTTGTTCAAACTGAAACTGAAACTGATCGGTTCGAGAAAATGGTTCTTTGTCGGCACCGATTGAGGCTGTCTGTGGAGTTCCACAAGGATTCGTACTCGGTCCGTACCTTCTCTAAGCATTCATAAACGACCTGCAAGATATCCTTGGAGAAAAGGCATTATTATTTGCTGATGACACTAAAACATGGAGAATGGCAAAATATCCTGAAGATTATGAAACCTTGCAGGAAACTCTGGACGCAGCTTATCGATGGTCCATCATTAATGATATCGAATTCAACGTTGAAAGATGCAAGGTTGTATCGCTGCGTCACAAGGGTCGCTTTCCATACTTACTTAGAATTCGGCCATTACCGCGTTCTCCAAACGAAAAGGACCTGGGAGTTATCGTTCATGAGGATCTGAGATGTTCCACACATTCTGCAAGAGTGTCTTCAAAGGCTATAAAACACGTTGGATTGCTAAACCGTGTTTTTGGATCATTCGAAATAGACCTATTGTCCCGTTTATTATCAACATACATTAGACCACACACCGAGCATGCTATACAGGCTTGGAATCCATGGCTGATTCGCGACCAAAAGGCACTTGAACGTCCGCAGAGAACAGCAACCAAAATGGTCAAAGGGTCACAATCTAAGACCTAAGGTGAAAGACTGCGAACTCTCGGACTCTACTCCTATGAATACCGTCGAATACGGGGAGACATGATCCTCGTTTATCAAATACGGCATCAACCTTACCACCCGTGTAGTACTCTATTGACGCTATCCAGGAATGGTCATCTCCGAGGACATCCGTTTAAACTTCTGCTCAAAAAGAGCCGGCTCGACTGCAGGCGTCATTTGGAAGTCAAAATAAGTAAAAGTCGTTAATAATAGACCACACTTTTTGCATGTGTAAAATTTCCCGTAAGTACTAATTCACCACCTCGGTTTTGAAAAGCTTTCAGCTATTACGGGGAACCTACTGCCCCGAACAAGGATCATTCTTCTTCCAAGGTCTACTTCGGTCGTTTACGATGAGTGGCCTTCATTGCTGACACTAGTAGTTGAGATGTTTTCAGTGTTATAGTTTTCATGCGTTTCCTGTGCATCAAAACTAGAATTCTCAAATAGTAAATACCTTGATAAATCCGAACCCTAATCTTGTTGTCTCTAAAAATGCGACCGTTCGGCGTCATACTTCAGTTTTTGTATCCCTGTTCCAGTGAGAATTTACGTTTGTCCTCAGAACGCAATGTTCTGGTCACAAACAGCACGAGTATGGTGCTGCGTATCAAAGAGTTGGAACAACAGTGTCGACGTTTGCGTCAGGATCTGGAAAACGTGGATCTTCGAGAGAGTATGTACACAGGATCGATTGACAGTGGTGACTCATGTGGTGATTCGGATGTGAGTTTTTCTATCTCTATCTCTCTCACCGATCAAGGTTCCCATTTTATGTGTGCTGATGCTAGCCATTTGCCCCCCCCCCCCAAAACAGCTTTTCCACAATTGAACATTTTCAGCGTTCTCGAAATGGTTGCATTTCTACCATCAGTTGGGCGGGTACACGACGAGAGGGTGACCACACCCATCTTTCCTTTTGGGGTGGGGGATATTATTCTCCCATCGTGATCAGCCAGGTACGATTGGATAGACAAACCAGATTTGCTGCTCTGACTCACCACAGCTGTGGACACTACGACCCAAGCAATTTCATCCCCTGCTGAAATATGTCTCATTGAAAAGTTGTATTTTGGAATCCCGATTGGTAGACAAGCCATCTGTCTGCAGAGAACACAATATTGGACTATGCATAACCGGTTTACCGCCGCTCTCGAATTTGGGCTTGTCTTTTAGAATTTCTGCCCCATTCGCATGCAATTTTACGCGCATGTGCACACGTCTAAACTACAACCCAATGCTCCCGTGGTCACTGTGAGATTTGCGGAATGAACGTTGCAACTATCGAGGCCACGGGTAGGAATCAGTCTGATGAACTACCTCCAAATAGCATCAGTAACATTGTGAGGTTGATTAAATGCGTTCTTTCTGTGAAACATCCTTGTTGGCAGTGATTCAACCAAAGACCATGGATATGTGTCTACAGGTAACAGTAGATAAATAATTCAGAATTTTCTAACCGATTTTCGGCGCCACCATTGCGGTTTGCTTCACTTTTTTTCTCCACTTTTGCCTGATATTACTTTTACGCTGAGTTGCATTGGATTAGCGGTTCCTTTGCTGGATCTAGTTTAATCTGTGCTACCTGTCTGCCCCTCTCGCTCTTTGATATTCGATTTTGAATGTTGTAAGCAATTTGTGCTTGCTCTTAAAGCAACCAATCGCTTGAGAAATCAGGATGAATTAATCGGGGAATTTTCAAATCATTGGGTATTGCTTATCTCATTCACCTGTCGACTGAAGTAAGTCGTCGGATGTTTGGGAATGTATCGAACAGGAACTCGGTATCGCATCCAGTTCAGCTCAATAGGCTCCGTTTATTAGAACACGTTTTGCATATGTTCGACGGTTGCCTTCCTCAGCACGCCTTATTTGCAATGGCTGCTGCAGACTGGAGAAAGCCACGTGGAGGCCAGCAGATGACGTGGAGACGAGGCATGAAGAAATGCACGGAGCGATTAAGTAGGTGTACCTCTTCTTCCGGATTAAAGTCCAAGGGACTCTGTAACTGGATGGTTGGGAACATTGAAGTTCATGGCAGAAAACTGGTAGCAGTGGCGATCTTGTTGCCACTTCTTATCGGACCAGAATGATTGAGCTATTCTCTATACTGCGCTGTGTACTCTGTGTATTGACTATAGAGTTTCGCTTTCTTTTCTCATCCTTAAAAATCTGCCCAATCCCTATTCTTCTTACTTGTTCTCACTTATCTTGTATGCACTATAAGTTTCGTAGCGATCAGTAAGGTTTGCTTCGGTGTATTACGCTGTAAAATGATGATTATGATGATGATGGGCAAGTCTCCCTCCTGCCAGGTCTGAGTTCGATTATCTTTTAGTTTCTTCCACTCATCACCTATCTCGGCGAACATCACGCATCATGACAATCTATTTAGCTACATGCGTAACACATTTCCCAACCAACATAGTCCACTGTTTGGTCGCGAATACCTAAAACTCTGTACGTGAGTTTATAACCGTCTCTGCTCCAACTTACCGTGTCCGTCCGAAATCCTCCGACCCTGCCTAAGTTAATCTAACCTGAATGTTTATTCCCATTAAATTTGGCTGCTCGGAGGCGCCTTCTGTGGCCAGGACTGCCCAATTCTTCTGGTGGGATAATTGGAACACTACTAATGAAGAAGAACAGGAAGTAATTAATCATTGAATCGATTGCATTCTTGGATATTGAACATATGCAACACTTTTTTTAAAGGGGAACTTCAACGTCACAAGAATCTCTTCACTCACGGCATCGGGTGAAGTTGGCCGTGTTTAGTAATGGATGTGGTAGACTATAAAAGGCCACAGTTGGACAGTGGAGCTGCTAACTACAACTGTCCCATATGGTCCCCAATAGGTTTTTCATTGTTTTTTTGTTTTGGTGAATAAATAAGTAAGAATAAGCAGTTCATCACTTATCTGAAGAGCAGGAGAATTCTCACTTTTAAAATTGGTGATGCTGGTAGTAGAACTTTTCCCATTCATATCACTATGTTTTCGTATATAACTTTCGCCACATGACTAGTTGTCTCCATTCGCGGACAAATCGCCACCGGAGTCTCTGTGCTCGTTCATGAGGCTCGATTCGGAGGCGGGAGCTTGCCGAATTTGAACACGTCTGTCGCGGCCGCGACATCCGGCTTTCCCTAATAGGTTGATTGCATGTTGCAGTTGCCTAGCCGGTGCTGTTGTATGCTATAGATGCTTGGACATTACGGGAGCAGGAAATCTGTACGCCAACGCCGATGTTTACGTCGTATTGTTGTGACAACCGGGGAATCTATGATTAAGTTAGTTTCTGAGTTTTAGACCATCGCGGTGGTACACAAGTTGACCTCCATAGGTCGAGTTATCTGGGCGACGTGGCATACATCAGGCACGTGGTTGGTGGGCAAATCTCAAGGTTGGTCAAACTAAGATCTGGCTTGCGGATATGAAAGCCCATGACCAAGGGACTTGGTCATATGAGCAGCGTTCGTTTTCCTGAATTATGGGCCTCGGGATCAGTTGAATCGACGATTGGAGGCACCGCGTGCTATGACTGTTGCACCTACTCCGTTTCTGCTCCCTTTTAGTCCATATGCATTCCACCCCCTTACTTTTGTATTGCTCCCACCTTCTTGTCGTTCACTCTTACTACTTCATCACTGGTCAACCAAGTGGGTAACCAAAAGATATCCACTCAAATCGTTGTGTAGATGTATAAATTGAACATAACTTATCTGTTTTTGCTTTATTCACTGGAAGTCGTGATCTGGTCGATTGATGATTGATTATATGTTAGATCAGTCAACTCCCTGAATCATTGGAGGAGAAAACTCCCGAATCTAAGTACATATTCACCAAAGGTAATCCATGAGTCACAGATTCGCATTTTCGGCATATGTTAGTCTTAGCTGTCGAACGGTGAATGATAAGATCATGCCTGTTGAAAAACACAAGTATCACTAGCCGAAAAGCGAAGGCATCTCATTGTTACTATTAATCTTACTTGGCGACGATGTCACAACGATTGGGAAATTTATCATTCACCCTGCATGTGTTTCAGTACTTGAAGAAGTAGGAACTAAGCGATGTGTGATGTATGAAGCTATATTTGATAAAGATGCAGCGGCTAACCGCATTCCGGAGAGGTAGAGAGAGGAAAAAAGAAAGGTCATGAGCAACAGCATATGAATCCGGAAACTGTGTCAAACAACCTACTTGCATAATGCTCTTTTGTAACCGAAAGTTATTGATTCGCGAGGCTTCTTTTGATTACCCCCTTAAGCAAATATTTATCATCTGGAAAGGTCATATATTGCACGGAACAAAGGTTCTGGGTGATTGAACGTGTAGTGCCACAATGCGTTGCATAAATCGATGTAACACTCAGTCAAACTAGTGTCATTCAGAATTGTATTTTTGGGAATTGTACCGACACTTTGTGTTTGCTGCTCTGATTTTGTCCTGGGTTTTAACCTAAACCCTGCACAGTTTTTCCTAATCCGTTCAAGGTTCGTTCGCTTGTGCTTGATGTTTATCACTTTCCCTCTTTTTAATCAAATGATTTATGATATTTCTTTTTGTACGTTCTTCGCAGAATTTTTGCCCCGAAATGTGTGCTAACGTTTGAATAAGTGGCACGTTTCATAGGTTGATATGGTCGTTTTTTGACATTTGAAGTTTAGTTATTGCGAAATCCCATGTATCAGATGTGCATATAAACATCACGTGGTTCGTTTAAATGATGATGTCTTTCATCCATCGAAAGCATGGTCATTTTTATTGTTGGTGAAGATTGTTCACCTAGCGTATGACGATATCTTTCAGGAAGTTGATCATGTAATTCCATGAAAGCTACACTTCTCCTGATAAATTTTCTCTAAATTGTTACCAAACCTATTCGTTCGCTCCGGGCTGTGTGAGCTGCATTTCCTTTTTACCTGTCTGCTAATGCATCTCTGACCCTTCCCTCCCGCACACACAACCCAATCATGAAAGATCCAATGTACCATTGTCGTACAATTTAGAAAAACATACATGCGTTGATGCGCGTTCTCAGTGAATAATTCACTTGCTAATTCATTAGAATTTATACCAATGTTATCTAGACTAAGGGTTAACTACCAACGGGAAACAAAGTCGAATTTAATGCGCTACGCGTACGGTTACAACCGGAACAGACCAGTTGTGCGTTTACCAAGTAGAACAACGCTGGTCGCCCACAGGGTAGTTTATAATACCCGTATTTTACAGACTAGTTCTTCGAAACCAGTCAATCGATAGTACAGGTTTGAACGGTTTGTCAGTCAATAACACGGATGGAGCTGATAGGCTATACGAATCTGGGTCTCTTTCTATGGTGCAACGATATTCACAACCACATTTCCCCACCTTTTGGTCATCTCATATGTGCGTTTGTTCTAATCATGAGGAGCGCGATCACTATGGCGCACGCGATGATAACTGTGAAAGACGAACTGCTTTTGGAAGCAGGGCGAGAGGTAGGAGCAAGTGGACGGATTTCGGTCGCCCTCGCTGAGACCAAGAAGCGGATTCTAAGATTTTTAGGTCGATAAGAGTGAGCCTAATAGACGATGCGAATTACCTTAGTAACATTGACCACTTAGTTCGACTTCAGGAAAAGGGAGCGAAAAACGGAACGGTCGGGCTCAGTTACCATTTTTCAAGCAAACCGAGTGTTGCTCGCCGGCTCGTTTGGACTGAGTTCTCCTCTTTTGACTAACCCACGATATTCCAGCTTTTCCACTCTACAATTTACTTTTTCCTC